ATGGACAAGTCACATGGTATGTATGGGCACCCCCGTCCTGACCCCCGTCCTGACCCCCGCCCATCCCCCTGCCCCAAAATGGCCAGCTGCCCCCTGTACCCCCGCGGGGGGGGACCTCCTGGGTACCCATAGAGCTACGTCTAAGGGTACCCAGGAGGTCCCCCGTGGGGTCTATATGGGGGGTTGGCGGTGGTAACTGAGGTGGGCACTACCATCGTCTATACGGATGCATAAGTAATATACTAGCTAAATCAAGCCCAGAAGAATGGGAACCCCAGGTGCATGTTCCCTGGGTTTGTAAACTCTCAGGGGCTTTTTGTATTAGAATGTAAATTGCGAGGCAACGGAGACCTTTCAGCAAAATTCCCACATGCGAAAGACTCGTCTTATGTGTCGCTGCAACCCTATATAATTGGCTTTGCGCAGGTATGAGTTTGAATTTTCAGCCTCTGCGCGAAATCTCTAAGTCAGAATAATTCTCGGCGTTTGCCGGCCCCAGCCAGATCACCGAGATTCTCTACCAGTCGCTACGCGGTAGCCGGCCTTGATTTGCTCCCATCAATCAAGAGTCGCACGTGCTACCGTGAGGTCGCTGGTTCGAGTCTAACGCGGAATGGCGGTCGCAGGTTGCGTAGGAGTTCTTGACTGCTGAGTCGCAGGGCGGCTTAGGATAGATACGGTCCGTCTCTTTTCAGCGGCGGTAATTGAAGGCTTCTTCTTCCGACCCGACCCATTTCGAGCACCTCCCCAATTCGCCTTCACAATTTGTCCGTTTTTAGTGACTTTCAGCCCTTCCATTTGCGCGTCTATCTTCTTCGAAACGTTTGGAAGTGGTGAAGAAGAGAGATTTGAGAGTTCTTGAGCCGGAGAACTCGTGTTCGGGATCTACATGAAGCGTAGGAAGAGAGGACAGGCGGCAAATGTAATGTTTCAGTACTAGCGGTGAATGGAATAACGGATCAATGATGCTGGATCACTGATCCGACGCACATCGCCCGATTTGGACGACAGGTCTACCCAGCCATAAATCAAGGGCCGAAACTTGCACCATAACTCGCCATTTGGTACTTATTCGCAACCAGCACTTTGATGGCACCAGCGACGGTGCGGTGCCTATCCTATCTTATCATTGCGATTACAAAGTTGATCCACATAATAAAATAACTATAAGAGCAAACAGGAAGAGAAGACCTCAGGGCAAGTTTGGGTCGACATTGTGAACCTGGCCATCGACCAGCTTCCTCCTCTTCTCCCCGACCTTCCAGATAACATCTTTTAGCTCCTGGACAACATCCCCACCGGGTCCCGTCGGCATCTTCTCTTCCAACCCTTCGAGTCCCAGCCCGATAACACCGTGCGAAGACCCAGATTCCCTCTTTGCTTTCGCCAGCTTGATCCGCTCCTCACGTGTGAGTTTGGACCGTTCTTTGTGCAAGGGACCCACTTCGGCCGCTTGGCTTTCGAATATCTGTTCGGCAGCGGGCAGGGGAAACTCGTCTGGAGCAACACTGAGCAGCAGATGGGCTGTCGGATCGTCAATGGGCTCGCCCTGTGCGACCACCACATCGGCGTGACTGTCGGCCTCGTCCATCGATGGAGACCCAGAATCGGGCTTGTCAGATTCATCAGCCTCGTCACTCGCATCATGCGCTAGAGCAGGCATATCCTCCTCCGATTCGACCGGATTCGGGGGAGCCGGAGGGCATATGATATCGAGCAGTCGATCCCGCCCTCGCTCACACTCGCGCAGCGCAAGCCCCAGCTCTCTTCGCAGACGCTCGTAGGCCTGCAGCGCGGCAGGGGGTTCAGGTGGCTGTGTATCCATCGCTTTGACAAACGTCCTCGAACGCCGCCGGCGGATCGGTCGCGTTGGAGGAGCGTCGCTGCGTACCGCAGCAACGCACTCTGTCAAGTGGTCACGAGCATCGTCCAGCGCCGAGGAGATCGCATCCACGTGAGCAGCAAAACGACTGAGATGGCTCGGCATCGGCGCAAACGAGAGGGCCCCGACTGAGGCCAGACCAGAGCTTTGATTGGGAGCGTCGGCTAATTTGAAGGGATCAGCCTCGCTCTCGCTTTCATTTGCCACGTGGTCTGCATCCTCATGCGCTTCCGTCAGTCTGGCTGCAGCGTCCACAAACGTAGTTGTCAGCAGCGCCATGACAGAGCGCACGTCCTCCCAATATCCATCGTCCTCCTCGTCAAAGCGCAGAGCAAGCAAATACGAGCAAGCGTATCGCTTAGCCGAAAGGGCGCCGTCGATCGCGTGATTCAAAGAAGAAAGCGCCAACGGATGCCTCATGGTCTGCATGGTGGTGAATCGGGACGCGTGTGAGACCGTGGACGAGCCGGTTAACGGACTTCGCGGCGGTGTGTGTTGCAAGCGAAGGATATCCATCCCTGACATGTGTCGTTTCCGTCGCAACTCTAGCGCAGCAGCACCGAACGTCGTACGGGAGGGCGATCCACTGGAGCTATCGGCATCAGTCTCGCCTTCTGTAGGGGGGAGGGTTGGAGGCGGTGTGCTGGGTGCACTATGGCTCTTGTTGAAGGAAGACGCCCTGAACAACGAGGCAAGATCCGACCGTCGCTTTTCCCGGCTTTTGATGGCTTGAATGGAAGGACTGTACGAAAGCGAGGTATAGGAGCCACTCCAGGTCGTGCGCTTTGAGCGGCGGGATGTAACTTCAGGTTCAGGCGGAAGGGATGTTCTGGGAGATGGCGGAGCATACATTTCCGATAACTGTGCCAACTCGACTGGTGCCGTCAACGCGGACAGGAGTTGGCGGACGTTGTCGCATTGCGTCTGCGTGCTCTGCAGCGAGGAGTGCAGCGCCAAGCGGATCGCAGAGACGGGAGATGGAGGACTGCATCCAGTTAAATACAGCAATCTGACGACAGAATTGACCTACCTTTCGTCTTCCTTCTCGAGGACACTGATTGTGTCCTGTACAATGGAGTCCCAGACTGCGCTCGCGGAAATGAGCTCCTTCAATGCGGCCGTAGTCTGAGACTGTGCGTAAGCAAACTTTGTCGGACCGAGAAGAACTGATACGGACAGAGGTCATATCCAATTTGGTGTGGTCAGATCGCTGATACAAACGGACGGAGACAGACACAATAACAAGTGCGGCAGACGTGTGGGCTCGGAGAGCAAGTAAACATGCAACAAACAAGGCGACCAGAGACAGCCGCCAGATGTCAGGAAATTCGTGAGAGGGAGGTGGAGGTGGCGCGTCGAGATGCAACTGGCCGGGTGGAGAAGGCGACGAAGGGCGACGAGGATGTGACCACGGCATTGAAGCTGCGAGCAGAGTAGAGGAGATGACACCGTATTTGAAGTGCTCTGCAAACAAGGAGGTCGATTGCGGCCGTTCGAGCATCCTGTCGAGCAACTGTAGCTTGTGAGGGTGTGAATATAAGAAGTGAACTGTATCCACGCACCTCTGCAATGTATATGACAATATCGGGCCGCCACTCTGATTCCTCCACATCCTCATATTCCACATCCATGTCTATGGAGGCAAACTCCTCGGCCTGTGGCCAGGAGCCAGGAGGCGTTTCCGGTGGTTCACCTGCGGCTGAAAATCGACATTCAGCCAAAGACGAATGCGTGAGACTCTGTCGACCTACCGCGCAGGTACTGCTCGAGTGGGTGGTCGTCAAATAAAGCTTGCGCCATTGCTGGCAATTATGTAAACTGGAGGGAAGAGCAGCAACAAAGCAGAGAACGACAAGAAGAAATAGTAGGAGAGTATTGTAGAGGTCGTGGAAATGGAGAAGCTGAAGACATCAGCGCAGATTTATTACGTCAGCACATGAGGATGCCTCATCTGATCACAGATCAGGGCAGTAGGTATCACCATCTTTGCCTACCTTAGCAACTCCAGGACACACTGATGAGTCCATTGCCAAGATTTTTCGGCAGCCACACTCTCTTCGGAGTATGAGCCAGGGATAGTTTACTGTCTCAATCTAGTCTCTCAAACGGCTGGGAAAGCCAGCGCGTGAGGATGGAGCTCGGTGACTAGTGCTGGGCTAGCTATGAATGAATTCATAGCATAGCAATCATAGCACAATATTTAGCATGCTATACAGCAACCTAGCAATTCTGCCAGAAAATGGTGTGCTATGATTTGCTATAAACTCCCTAATTGATTACTGATAACGTCGATCTGCTGTTCACATGAATCACATCTTTTGTTAATCAATCTGCCGTTCCCTGCCGGAGCAGCACGGAAATGATCCTGACAGTGCCAACACACATTCCGCGTCTGCCGTTGTCGTCAGAAGACCTCGGCCATCTAATGATTGCATGCACCACTTGCATTGACAAGGAAGACTTGGTCTACCACACGATGGACGGTCGCTGAATTTGTGCATCTTGATAGCGCTTTTGCTTGGACAGTCAATCCTTGTGACTGCTGGCACACCTGCAGTGGCATTGGTATAACCCAGCGCTCCGAAAACGGAAAAAGAGGTCGCAAATCAGCCCTGGGATCCTGAGGACAATGACAAGTAGATATCCATACTTTTTCACATTTTACACTCCAAAATCAACACTAGCAGTCCATGAGAGGCTTGTAGCAGCAAAATTTCATTCGTGCTAAATATTGTGCTAAAATTGATATATAGCAAGGATATATAGCGTAGCAACCTGGGCCTCTGTTTGTAGCTGCTATGAATGTAACCTAGCAAGTTCAAAATAATATTTAGCCCAGCACTATCGGTGACAGTTGTGTGGTCCCAGTGATGGGGTGACCGGCAGAAGGATAGCAACTTCAAGGTTGACACGAAAATGGGGTGTTCTAGCGAGGATGTAGCATTCGAGCCGTTGCTTAGGCTTTGCTAGTATGTACATAATCGAGTATGGTCATCCTGAAGCCTGTCGTCCAAGTCAGCGTAGGAACGCTCGCGGGCCGTCGGCGTGCCTTGGCCCGCTCGCAGTTGCTGCCTTGAGCATCGATCAATCCAATAATGATGTGATGTATCACGTGCAGATTTTCTCGTATCTACGGGGGCTCACACGTTCCGTCCTCCAAGCCTCCTGCCTCCAACCCCTTGGTCCCTTGGGCCGTGTAACTGTCTTGTACCTGCCTCTCCAAGGCTCTACGCTCTTTTTCTCTATCGTTCGTTTAGAAATGAGTCACTTGGCACACGCGCGCGCAGTACAGGCGCGCCATAACAAACGCGCCGGTGGCTTTGGGAATGGGCTCACGTTCAACCCCTTCCCGTTTCCCACTACGTCTGAAACTCCAGTCCCCACTACTCCCGTTCTTCCTGGTATGCGGCTTTTACCAAACCATACAGAACTATGTTGATGATTTTGCAGAGCCGACTACAACGACCACAGACCTGGTCCCTGTGATACCCACCACGCGCACCAGGCACATCGTCACAGAGACAACCACCCAGGAAAAGACTGTGCCGGAGACTTCCACGCCAGTGGCTCCGCTGCCGACCACCACTTCGGCGCTTGTCCCACCGCCCGTTTCGCCGGTGCCCTCGCTGCCAGTCTCCCCGTCGGTCGTTCTCGTATCCCCGGCATCCTCGTCTGTCACTTCCCTTGCCTCTCTCCCCTCCCCCTCCCCTTCCCCGACCACTCTTGTCACCATCAAGTCGGCCGTCACTCACAAATCCATCCCCATCGTGCGTATCTCCGATGTCGATCTTTATCACGTCCGCTGAACCTTCATCACAGACAACCACCTATACTGGGGCAGCCCTGCACAACCCTCTTACCGTCACCCATGTGGTTGCTGCTACAGCGATTGTGTCCGGCTCCGCCAGTGCTTTGCCGTCTGCCTCTGTCGCCCCCACCAATGCCCTCGTTGGGCCGGTCATCGGTGGCGTCGCAGGAGGAATTGCTGGTCTTGCCTTGATCATTTTGGGGACGCTTGCCATTCTTGTGCGTCTTCTGTTTGTCTCTCTGATGCTCGGTGGCTGAACCGCTGCACCTAGCGCCGGCGCAACAAGGATGACACCGTCGTCGACTTCGACCCCGGTGTTTTCAGGCGCTCCGCTGTCATGCTCAACGATCCTCCTACGCACCAGGACACTATCGAACGGGGTTACAATGCGCCCGCGCCTCCCCCTATGAGCGAGAAGTCTTACCCGATGTACGGGGACAACTTCTACCCTACCTACCCCGTTTCGCCCAACGTCCAGTCTCCTTCGTCGGGCAACCCATTGGTATTCGAAGCCCCCTACTCTCCTATGGGTACTCCAGAGATGGCGACGCCGCATGAAAACGGACAAACTTGGGGACCGCCGGCCCCTGTTTTGACTCGCACTGGACCTCCTACCTTGAGCCGGAACCTCTCGACTGGGCCCGTCCCCGAGAACCAGAATGGTCTTTTCGTGCCCGAGGCGGAGTACATGGATCTCGAGCGCACCAGTGTTACTCCCTTCCAGGCTGTTCAATATGCGGAGATCTCCAGACATCTGAACTCGGAAGTACCGCAGGGCCTGCCGACGCCTGAATTGGAGAAGTTTGTCGACAGCATGCCGGCCAAGGACGTGCTGCCGCCGCTCCCGACTGAGGACAGGACTAACCCCTTCGGCGATGACGATGATGATGAGGGCCAGGTCCTCGAGGTTACGCCGACCATGCCGGCCGGTGACGATCTGTCGTTCCCTTCGCCGCCCCCCTCAGCCCACACTGCCGCGAGTCGCTACCGAGTTGAGTCGATGCCGCCGACGCTGCCTGACATTGTGGTGGAATCGCGTGTGTCTGTCAACTCGGAGTATTTCGATCAGGCCAAGACATTGGGTGACGCGTCGGGTCAGACGCTGTTCGTGGCGAATGCCACGGACAGTCCCGTTGGCAATCGGTTCCCTGTTTCGCCTAGCCCGCTGGCTAGCAGCTTCACGATGTCGACGCCGCCGGCGACCGAAAGCACGTTCGCGGCGCCTGCCGTGCCCGCTCCAGTGGCGACCCCCCGGGCCGACAGCAAAAACCGCCGCTCGATCTATACTGTATATGACCCGGAGGATGCCTACGGCGGCTTTTGAGCTCTGAAGCGTCTTCTGAACTGATGTTCCTATCCGACATATACGGCTTTTTTCACGTCACACGCCTGTGCTAGGCAAGGCATTTCTGGCTGGTTCCGCACATATTCGAGAGGCGTGTTGTGGACGGTGCGTGCTGGCCGCCAACTTGCGTATGAGTTCTGCGTACGGATGTCCATAATGCGTTGATACCCAGTTAATTACAGTTGTTCTGAATGCCAAGATTCCCATCATCCATTCAACATCTCCATCGGACTTGCATGCGCTCTGTCTTTGTGACACCGTCATGCTTGCAGATGCTGATGACTGAGTCTGAGCGGCTATTCTACTCCGTACCTGAGGCCTCGTTCAATCAACGAGGTGATTCAGTGGCCGTAGTGTCATAAATCAGGCATGATTCTCTGAACACAGAGAGTATATATCTGCCACCGCTCAAATCGGCGGCGGCCACCGTGCTACCGTCCTCACTTGCCCACCCCCTCCCTCCATGTACGCTGTGCCTCTCCCTAAAGGCACGCAGGCCCCTGCGCGCGCGATATCGCAGCGCAAGCTGTTCTCCGCATGTCTGCTCCTCCTCCTGGGATGCTCGATCGGGTACGGCGTGGCCAGCTACAGCGGATCGGACGACGAGCACCCAGTCCCACAGGAGTGCATCGCCCACTTCGATTTACCCAGGCCCGTCTTCGAACTCGAGGCGAAGCCGGAACCCCCGGTGACAGTCACCGTCGAGGTGCCCGGTCCTCCTGCTGCTCCGTCCCCGATGCGGTCCGCGTCCCCGCAGCTGGCGCAAGTGCCCCTGGTCCCGCTCAACGGTGCCCCGACGAGGGCGTTTAGAGGTCTATCTGGCGTTGATCGAGGCTTGATGATGAGACTGATCTGTTCTTGCGCAGATAATCTGAAAGCGGACGAGCGATACGTCACCAGTTGGCCGGGCTCTGGCTTCACGAACGACGTGATACTATATGTGCGCTCCTCGGTCGTCGTTTCGGTGGCTTTTGGCCTGATTCCGGATAGATGAATCTGGTGTACATGGCCATGATCACGGAACGAATCCCCGTGATTCCCTTCTTCACGCCAACCCACGTCGGAGGGAATGCGCCGACCATCGCCTTCGGCGAGGTGTTTGATGTCCCCAGACTTCAGAATGCTACTGGCAAGCAGATACTCGAGTGGCACCAAGTTAAAGTGGGTCCATCTCTCCCTCTTCCGTTCCTTACACGGCCCGTCTGAATCACGCAAACAGGATCCCGCCAGTGATGTTGTCGATACAATGGGATGCTGGAGTGTTTGGATGGGGGTATCCAGCGCGCACAAATCAGAGCGTTTCAACAGCGCAACCACGCGTCTCAACTTGGGTATGCACTGTATCTGCGGGTCGAGCCTCCGACTTGGCTGCTCACAGAGCCCCAGATGTCTCGTACACCCCCGCCCCGAGCTGGATCCAGATGCTCCCCGACGTTCCGGAGGATTTCTTCGCGTCGTTCTGGTCGCTGGCGACACTTGCATATCCCACCCAGCGGAATCTCAATCTCCGGACGCCCACGGTGTCGAAGCTGACCGGCATTTCGCTGCCTCCGGACGAGCAGATGCTCTGCTACGATTATTTGTACTATCTGGGCGCCTATACTGTGAGCCGATGTGCTTCCTGTAAGATCAGGTGCTCACTGCGGCTCAGGTGCACGAATGGACCACAGACTACAGCCCGGCGTGGAGATTTGTCGGGCAACATATGCACTGGAACCCAGAACTCGCCAAAATTGCCGAGAAATACACCCGGGAGACGCTCACTCTCGCAGCACAAGAGCCCACGCCTCCGGTCAGGGAGTTTCCGGTTCAACCCGAGGGTTTTGGCACTGAACGTTACGTCAGTTCATCGTCGTACACGTCCGGCACGGAGATTTCGCAGGCTGGTGCAAAGACGTGCCCGTGAGAGACTGCTTCGCCCCGCTGTCAGCGTACGAACGGCGCGTCGAGGAAGTCCAGAAAGAGCTGTGGGACACGCAGAAGATCGTCGCGGACCGGGTGATCGTCACCAGCGACGAGCAGAACGCGACCTGGTGGGACGAAGTGTCGGACCTGGGCTGGTACCGCCCGGACCATTCCAGGACCGCCGAGCTGCACGGTGCTTGGTATGATGTCGCTCCACAGGTCAGGCGTGCGTGCCTCTGACCAGATCTGTGACCAGGTATCCCATCCTCATCGACGCGGTGATCCAGTCCTCCGCGGCAGGGTTCGTCGGGACTGAGTATTCCACGGTTTCCATCACCTCCGCCAAGCGGGTCGAGGCTTGGAATCATGGTGTGACTCGTGCCGTGCGTTGGGGTCGACCAGGTGCGAAGTCTCCCAGCGCAGCTCGCGCCTCAAACTGACTATTTATGGCAGGTGCGGATGACCATTGAGAGCCTCGATAGTAGGCATCGTTACCCAGGATTGTAAAGTAGAAAGCGAGAGTGGACTCTGGAAGCGTGATCTTACCATGTATCATCCATATATCTATAACTAGGATTAATTACTTATCGTAAGTACTTTGCAAAGGCATGGCCGGACATTCGGCCGAAGCCAGCTCAGATCGGCCGTCCACCGCCTTCTTGCTTGTTCGTGAACTCCGACGATGGCAAGCATACACCTCAGAATCGCGACGTTTCTCATGCTTTGTGCCCTGTTTTCCGTTATGAGCTTTCGTAAAATGCCTCGCTCAGACGGACAGCGCCATTCCCAAGCACGTAGCTTGGATCCGGGCCCCCGCTCGCCACTCTTATTCGACAGGCCTCAACAGCCGATGCGCCTGCTCGATGGGGTTCCCCCTCGCAGGATAGTGGTCACCGGTGGGGCCGGAACTATCGGTGTGTAACCGCCCGACGTGCATGATGCTCAATTCCCGTCCGACACGCTCCCAAGGAACGCATCTCGTCCAACGCCTCCTCCTGTCCCAGTTTGCGGTCACCGTAATCGACCTGTTACCCAACCCTGTTACGTCCCCGGCTCCATCGCTGATCAGGTGGATCCAGAGCGACGTGCGGAACGCGTCGGCAGTCTCGCTCGCGCTGACACCGGATGTTGTCGGCATCGTCCACCTCGCTGCTGTTTCGCGCGTGCTGCGTTGTGGCGAGCAGGCCGAGGAGTGTATGGAATTGAGTATACGGGGTGTGCAGGCCCTTTTGGATGTGATCGACCGCAAACCTGCTGGTTTCCAGCCGTGGATTGTCCTCGCGTCTTCGCGCGAAGTGTATGGGCGGAACGAGTCTCATCGGGCGGAGGACAAGCCCTCCACGGCATATGGCTTATGTGCGCGAGTATTCGTTGTCTTGATTGGTTTGCTCACTGTATCTTCCAGCACACCTTGCAGCAGAGCATATGGTTCATCAAAAGATTGATGGGATGGCCCGCGCCGGTAAACGGCGCATACATGCGATCAGTCTCCGTCTCGCAACTGTCTACGGAAGCTTGTACGATCACCACGACCGCCTGGTCCTGTCCTTCATCAAACGTTCTCTGGCTCATCAGCCGCTTCAAGTCTACGGCGCTCAGCAACAGATTGACCTCGTACATATCGAAGACTGCACTGACGCGTTTGTTCTGGCGGCAAGTCATCTAGACAAGACGGTGTCAAGAAAACGCTTCTGGGGCAACCCCCTGTTGTTCAGTGTCGCTGATGTGTCTGGTGCACGGGTCACTCTGCAAGAACTCGTCGACAAGATCGCCCTGGTCACGCAATCTAAATCAGCTGTGCAGACTCTGCCCCGCGACGCTCGGTACCCCGCGCTGTATCTCGACTCCCCTGTGCCAGGCTTAGCTGACTACCGGCCTCGAGTGGCGCTTGACACCGGTATCTTGCGTTTTGTTCGGCAGCAATTGGAAGAGACGCAGAAGTATCTGACGCAGAAAGCCCGAGCCGGCTGCGACCTGATATCTCACCCCTACATCGCAGTGAACGAGGACTTGCACAAACTGGATGGCTGCACTGCGAATCTGCTGGTCAACGTCAAGACGGAGGTATGGGCGCTGGCGTTCGACTACAATCCGCGCCATGCCGAGGACCCGGACAACATGGGACCTGGGACGGTTGATGACTATGGGCTCGTCTGGGTCCTTTCGGAGAACATCATTCCTGATCCGGTCAAGCTGTCTGTGCAGATCAGGAAGAACCGCGTGTTTCTCAAGGTTGCTGCAGTGCGTACCTATGCTCGACACTTTCTGGGTCTCTATTCGAGTTCTCTACCTGAATTCGCGAGTGGGTTTGTGTTCGACCATGTTCATCCCCGGGACGACGGCAGTGACAAGGCGGTCGTCGAGTGGGAGTTGATCTTCCATCCCATCGACGGGTCTTTCAAACTCGTGCTCCCAGACTCTGGATTTCAAGTTTTGCCTCCGCCGAATTTCACTGGCTGGTTCTCATGGATCTCGGATGACATTGACACGTATCCTTTTCGACTGAGCCCGATTTGTTGTCCAGCACCGCCACCATGGCCCTTCTACTATCAAGACCGTGAGTATGTGCGTCTCGGTGGTTTGCTTGCGCTTATATTTCATGCAGCCATTCAATACAGCATCCACCTCGAACGGTATTCGAAAGAACGATCTTTCAACCAAACCATCCCTCAAACTCTCTGCGAACGGGCCAAAGCGGCACTCGACCAGACGCATGTGACAATGCGACACATCGACGCACTGAATGGCACTATCCCGAACAAGCCACGTCGGATGGGTCGTCCATCGGAGTGGGCGCACAAGTCACTGGTCGCCTGCTCGAACGATTGCGCCCATCCTACAGTCTGCGTGTACACGGGCAACTGCTCGTGTGTTCAGGCGATGCACTGCGCGCTCCAAGACCGGTTCTCTGCTGCCCCTACTGTGAGCCACTCTCTCTTGGACCTGGTGGATAAAACGTCGTGGCAAGATGTTCTCCGGCCCGAAGCGGCGCGATACCTGGAGTCGAATGGGTCATCCTGGCCCGCGGTGCATATCGCGGCCGTGGACAGAGTGAGTGAATCACTGCGGGGCCCGCATCTCGAGTCTGTCGCGCGTCTCCTGGAGCGGGACTGTTTCTCGGCAGACGCATCGATAGAGTTGGCGCTGAGGGTCAATAATGTCGCGAGGGTGGAGGATGCGGAGGTGATATTCCAGCCGTACTATCATGCTCGGATGTGGACCGATGAAGGCGCGGTGGAAACGCTGATGGAGCAGCTGGATGCTAATTACCCGAATCGTCTTCAGCAGCAGCAGCAAGTCGTGCTGCCGTCGACGTACGACTGGGGTCTGTGCCTGTTTTTCACATGGACCATCTGGGAAGTGCGACAGAAGTATTCGGTCCCCGACGTGCTCAAGGACGTGGTCGCTTGGAGGTTAGCTAGTCTCCACTGCACTGTGTGCAGGATATCCGAGTCGATACTAACGGTTCGACAGTGTCATGGGGGATCTCAACAGCCCCTGCTATCGTCCCCATCAGGATATCATGTACGGGTTTCCACTCGTTTTCTCGAAAGCGTCCATCTAACGCGGGCATTCAATCAAAGCATCCCGCCCCGCAGTTGCCGAACAAGACAGCTTCGACCGGCGTTCTCGAACCCGGCCTTCATCCGACCCGCGACGCACCGTACCTTGCTGTCCTTCTTCCACGGCACCATCTGGGGTTCTGGTGGCACTCTGCGCCGCAAGCTGACCTGCCAGCGCCCGCTCCCCGGTGACGGAATGACAGCCTTTGAGCGCAGTCGGGCGGAGATGGGCTTGAGCTTGCCATTGCCGACCATGAAGTGGGAGAAGCCGAGAGGTCACCGCGAGTACATGTCGATCCTGAACAACACGATATTCTGTGCTGTCCCGGCTGGTGTGGCTGGCTGGGCGCCCCGGATCGAGGATGCGATCTACGCAGGCTGCATTCCTGTCATATTCGATGACGACACGCATCTGCCGTTCTGGGAGCTGCTGGACTGGTCGATGTTCAGCGTGAGAGTCTATACTGAGCAGGTGCAGGAGCTGGAGAGTATCCTGATGGGCTATTCCATGCAGCAGGTGCGTGTTCTTCGGACGCTGACCCTGAGTCCTTTCTGAGCTGTCATTCAGATTCTGCGGATGCAAGCCAATCTGATCCACGTACGGGACATCCTGACTTACCCGCTGGACCAACGACACGCGGATATGGTCACTGCACGCAGCCCGCTGTCGTTCGCTCTCCATCAGACTAGACTGAAGCTGGCCACTCGATGGCCTATCGCAACGTAAATGAAATATGTACAAGTAGTTTTACACATTTGTGTCTGTTCAAAAAGAAAAATTCTGCTACATAGACTGGATCCCCGCTTCCGTCCCGGTGCAAGCTCACACGGCAGAAACCGTCGTCTCGAGGGGCGAGTTGGGGAGAGTGTAACACTGGATGGACTGGGGAGGTGCTCGATGAGTGGGGCGAGGCGAATGAGAAAGCTCGAAACGGACGGCAGCTGATTGAGTCGCGAATTTCTCGGGGTCGGTCGAGTCTCCGTCACGGTTGAACTCGTGTGTCGTGTCGATTTTGATCGAGATGTTCGGGCGCTGTTTCGCGCTCAGCATCGTGTACAACAGAGATGAATAGAACAGACCGAACCTTAGATGTCATGGATAGCGACGAGTTTTTGGGGTGGAACTCTCGCAGTGAGAGAGAGGCGTTTTCGCTCGTGTGATTCACACCGTCAGCCGCGGAGCGGATCATCTTGCGTGCGTTCAGTGTCGCGAGCAGGCTGTTGCTGTGCAGATGTCAGTATATGTGACCAGGGCATGTATCTTCCTGCGAACCAGTAGACTGTGAATCGTTTAGTGGGTGAGGAGGAACCCAATTCGGCAGAACTCACGTCGGCCCATGCAGAAGAAGAACAGGATGTAAATGAACGTGTTCCCGGCGACAACGGTCTTTGAGATGGAACTGAGCCATAGGCCAAGCAGTCGAGAAGAGATGCTTACAGAAATGAGCGACGCAATGGCGCATAGGCTGATTACCCATGTCCCATGAGCACGGGGTTCTCACAACAGACCCCGATACGAACGCACCTAGTGACCAGGCCGGTATTGACTGCAAACATGATCTAAGGGAGCGGATGTCAGTCAGTCTGAGGTACCGCTGGTAGGCGAGCAGACTCACCAGCTTCTTGATCATAGTGTCGGAACTATCGCGGGTTGGTTAGCGGAAACAGGGCAGCAGCAGCAGACGGAGGGAACAACCGATGGAAGCCGGTGCGAGATCGATGCAACAGCGTGCAGAGCGTGGCAGCGATGAAGACATCGCCGGCTGCAGCCAACGTGTTGACCATGATCGAAAGTGTCTAGGAGAGATTATAGGATCGCATGCTTTCGAGATAAACACGGCGCACACCGACCTTCAGTTGAGTAAGTTGAGCGAACGTCTCCAGTTGCATTCTGGCAGGAAGCTGATCAGGAATAGCGCCGCGGGTAGAGGAGTTCCTGGCACGCACGACAAGATGACGTAGGCTAGAATAGGAACGAAGGATTCAAGACCACTAAGTAGGGTCAAGAAGAGATGCACGAACCAAGGACACAGCCTGCAAGAAGCGAGGAAAATCATGAGCGTTGAGAAAGAGCGCTCTTAGAAGAACCTTCCGTACCGAATTCTCCCAATACGAGAATCATCTGAGCATGGCACCGTGAGCTTGAACCAACAAGCGAGCAGAATAAACATACAGCGGTGGCAGTAAACCATATGTTGCCGTTGCTCACTGCGTTGTAGATGAGAAATGGTGCGAGATAAGCGACAAATAACACACAGCGCCAGATTCGATGAGTCAAGAAACTGATCCGAGTATTAGAATGACACCGACAGGGAAAAGAAAAGGCGGACCATTGCACTAGCAATGCCGTCAAGCCCTAGATCATCGTCAGCTCTTCTGAAGAAACGCGCACAGGGAAACGAACGTTAAAAAGCACTTCAATCTGCACGCGCAATAGGTTTAGAGAGAGTGATCACGCCGCATAACCAGATCTCACCAGCAAACTCCTACAAGAACAGATGAATTTTATATGATTGGTACTATAGCCAATACGCACCAAACGATCTGACCAAGAAACGGACTGTTCGAATAATTCGTCACAAGATAAGTATACACTGCCATAGGGTTAGAAATTCGTCATGAAGCAAGCAAGCGCGAGCTATGGGCGCACCAGTATGAGATATGAGAGCCTGGTGTATAGTGTCGAATATCATGACCAGCGCAACCTAACCGAACGAGTAAATGCCAGAGTAGACAGAGAACGCGCGAACATGACGAACGAGGCTTTTCAGCGGCCATCGGTCAGTTTGGTGCGTGTAGTACCACCAGGTCTGGACGCAGGAGACTAGCAGGGTGTTCAGAGGAGCGGTCCGACAAGTTGGAAGAGTCAGGCAGACCTCCGTACAGTCTATCATAGGAGTCGTGTTAATACTGAGACGACGAGGGAAGAATGGACGCGCACCCAGCGGCAACGACAACGCCGATGAATCCGACGCCGAGACTGAAAAGAGTGTTCAAAACAGATAGAGCGACGCGTGAGGTGAACGCCGACGTTTTGTCCAAGAGATGGCTAGTAGCAGGCAGGGACATGGCAGGGAGCACAAGCGAGTGGGGCGAAGCGACGAGGTGTGAAACTCAATTGAATGAATTGCAGGTCGACGCGTCGATTCTTTAAGGCAGAGAAGAGCAGCCCAAAGGAGAGAGAGAACAGTTTGGTGAAGAAACACGGCTTTTCAAGGAGCGCGCGTGGGTGCTTCGAAAAGGCGCAGTTCGAATTCGAATCTTAATCCTTTCTTGAACGACAATGGGGTTCTGGTTCTGGTAGAGGCCCGGGAGAAAGGAGATACGATCCGCGACAGCCTAACGGCACCGGAGCATATCGAGCATGTGCCTCGGGTTTAGCATGTTGTGGTTGACATAGGTACGGCGTTGAGGTAAAGAGTATGTACGAGTCGGACTGAATTAAACAGCGCCCGAGTGCTTGCGGTAGGGCCGGATCGCCCACGAAGTATGCTTCAGAGATGTTTCATCCGAGTTCTTCTCCTCCATCGGACTTGTCCGAATATATTTTAGAGGAAAAGTTTGCATGAACCGGAAGCGAGCTAGAAGACGATGGTCACTGGAGTGGCAAACGGCAGGGACGTAACGCATCGCGGTGTACGTGACGAGAATGGGTTTTCTCAACGCACGTCGCCGGCGGCTCTTTCCCTCAGAAAGTTCTCTTCCGTCGACTTTATCCTCCCAAACCCCGCTGCATTGATGTGGTGAGTGATCGTGAAGGCATTGCAGAGAATGCGTGGTGAGTCTGCGGAGTGCTCACCATCTCGTTTACATGACTCAACTTTGCATAAAGCCCCCCGCAAACGACGGAGAGTCGCAGTCTGGACGCACCCGTCACTATCTATCGAGGAAGCTTTGGCAAGACATTGGACAGTGCGGCGTTTCTGATATGGCGACCGGCGAATCGTGCTCCTAGGAACGACTCGAGGTTGGGACTTCTTTCTGGATGCCCGTGTGAAACTGGACGCGTCGTGGGGAGATCGAGCGTGCTTCCATCCCCAGATGGGTGTAGGTGTATTCTTTGAGACTCAATGGGAAAGAAAACGCGTGGGGGGTAACTGAATGACCCGGGGGTTGGAGAACAAGACCAAGGCACAAACCACGCGTCCGATCAAAATTATGTAGTTAGAGATTAGATTATTTATGTAGCACGCCTGTCAATCAACTTGCATTCGACTTCAACCGCCATGACTGAGCCTCAGAGCGATGTTTCCAGGCCCTCTGCACTTCCCACCGCCAATCTATTTCAACGCGACGCCGCTCTCCAGGCCCACATTGACCAAAACTCTGCCGAGTACCTGGACGCTATCGAGGAGGAATGGAACAAGAAGGTTGATTCTGAGGTCGAGACTCTACTCGACGGCATGGTCGACCTCGTCGGTCTGGCATCCATCGAGGACAAGGACAAGTTTAGGATAGCGCAGGAATCGTTCCAAGCTCAGTCGCGTGCTGAATCGATGGTATACCCACCCACAACGCTTCCACAACACGATATATCTGATCGCCTTCTAGGTTCGAGCTGCAAACTCATTACTCTCGATCACCCACTCCATGAAACTGCTTCTGTTGCTGTCGGACGAGGCCCAAATCGCGCATCGCCGAGATGCAGAACTTAAGACGATCCATGAGGAGAAGACACAAGCTCGAAAACAAGTCGCAATCCTATTAGACGAGCTGATTCGCTACCCGAGTCATCAATGTCCACCGCGGTAACTGGGACGTCATTTTTTTTGTGCACTGTATGTACGTGACCGCATTGCCACACAATACGATCACAGTGAAATAATTTAATGCCAGGAATTCCTATATGCCCATGAAGGTGTCCGAAAAGCTACTACTGCGCTCCCCCAAGTCATTAGAGGATGATCGTGAATGCCGCAGCAAAAGTAGCCAGTCCTGCAGCGAGCGGCCACGCGAGTGTGGAAGCAGCCATGGGACCCATGGCAAGAGCAGCGCTGGAACCGGAGGATTGCGGCGCAGCCGAAGATGTGGATGCGGGGGCCGACGCTGCAAGTACGGAACGAGTGAGACTGGGAGAAGCAGCAGCAGCTTTGCTCGCAGCAGGGGAGGTCGAGGGCGCGACAGAGGGGGCGACGGACGAAGCCGCCACAGAAGCAGATGCGGCGGGGACTGCAGCGGAATTGGAAGCTGCAGCGGACGCCGATCCGAAAGAAGGAGCAGCGATGGCGATCGACGGGTCAGTGAGAGCACCAGTGCCCCAGTGCACAGTCGTGCCGGCGGACTGCTCGGTCTGGAGGGCCGCGGTGCTCGATCCGTCTGTGCCAGCAATCGTGAACCGCCCAGTCCAGGTCACGTTGGGGGTTCCGCCAGACGTGAACTGGTAAAAGTAGATGGGGGAGTTCGGGGTCACGTCAGGACAGGCATAGGAGAAACTGCCAGCGACTGAGCCGTCAAGGCCTTGAGCGACAGCTGGGAGGAGGATTCAGAAGGAGTGTTCTGCAGTGCGGTGCTGGCACTCTTACTGGTCAGGTGAACCATCTGTTCGTTGCTTCCAGTCATCAGTTCCACAGCCATTCCCTTCCAAGCAGTGGTCCCTGAATCATCGGCACTCCAAGCGAAAGAACAGTTGGTGCCTTGGTTGAACGTATCGCCTGGAGCTGGCTCATTGGGTCCCACAATTGCGTGTGCAAGCTGAGCGCCGGCGAGGACGGTGGCGAAAACGATGGTGGAAAACATGAGTGGTGGCTGCACCCACGTTAAGTAGATAGAAATGAATCATAAGGAGAACCTACGAGGAGTCTTTGTGGAAATAACGAGCGTCAGGTAATATAAATGAAGGAACAAAGATTTCCGTCGAGTGGTTGGGAAGGGGGGATGCGTTGTGACATTGTTTTGTTACAAGTCTCCTGGGCACTGCCACAGAACTACATTGCCAAGCCAAACAGGATGATTGTCATAGAGAAGAAAAACCGAATTTACGTAGGCAAGACATCACAACAGGGTACTGAAGTTTGCACCTCAAAAGGTTACGTTTAGTAGACTTACTGATGTACTGACAGTAGCACTGTAAGAAAGCAAACGAAAGCTGCGAAAGTAAAACACAGCGTCTGTCATACACATGTCAAGCAGAAGCCTGCAGAAGCCTGCCCATCGTCGCGAACGTGAGCATCATTCGATTTTGTGAATCTGAGTGCAGAGTGATTAGGGATAGAAAGGCTAAGAAAGCCAGCGAGATGTGCGTACTTCATTGGCTAGCGTCACCCACTCCGTTAGCGATCGTGCATATTCATCTCTCCCAACGTCCACAGGGATGTCTGGTTGCCACAGAACAAAAGATGAGAATTCAGACACGGGCAGCAGAGTCCGTGTTGTTGTTGAGGGTTGATCACTGTCCATCTCGACATCGTCGGCACGAGTGACACTCCGCGAGCTTCGTCCCGTCGTCTTAGGCTTGATCTTGACGCCTGACTTGCTGGGTTTGATCCCGGAGCTCAGAACGCCGTCGCCATTGAGCAAAAGACCGGTATATCCCTGTGGAAGCGGTACCTTCAGGCCGTGCATAGTTCGTCCTCGGAAAGACGTCATGAAACGAGTCGCTGTGTCCGGCGTAGGTATTGTTTCTAGAGGCATGGGTGTGTCCTCTGGCCGAGAACCCGCGATTTCTGGTGTTTCAGCGTCAGGCGTAGTTGCCGCTGGTTTAGCTACGTTGTCTGGAGCAGCTTCAATTGGCATGTAGGTAGATATGGCTGCTGCGCCGTTGTGCTCGACATGAAAGGGCATGAGATTGGGAGACGACTGAGGAAGACCAGATTGAGGTATGGGTGCGACTTCCAATGAGGGCGCCATTGGTTTGATGATTAGGGGAGGTTGACCGCTTGTTCTGAGACGCGGACGCGGACACGGCCAAGCACTGTCAAGTCACATCACGGGGGCCGTCACGTCGCGTTTATGTCCGCCGCGGAGCCAAATATTTTTACAGTCTGGGAAGGATTAATAATAACATGGACATGTTTATTCAAATTGACTCCACATACCCATGAGGTGCGCATGAAAAAAGTAACGCCTATTCACCACCCCCTCTGTTTCATTCCTCAGAGGGCTGCAGTTAGGGCGAGGAGGATGTCACTTCAAAATGCCTCGCCGCTTTCATGAGGGAGGAGCAGTGCCGCTCGATTTCCGCATATGGAGAGATGCGGCACTCATCCGGGCCGGAATGAACTCTAAATCCGGTCAAATTGCATCACTCCTTGATCGGGCGTGCTTTGACATCTCACCCGATGACAGATGCATTTACAGCAGGCGATGAACTCTGTCGCGGAAAAGCTACTAATTGTTGTGCCACGCAACTCCTTGACTTGTCGTCTTCATCTCTTCCCCCCATGACATCCCTCGCTGTGCCCTCCGAGATTTGGTTGCTCGTCGCAGAGCATCTTCCGGCGCAGACTGTTTCTGAACTCTACGCCGTTAACAGTCAATGGTTCGACATCGCGATGGATGCTCGCTACCGACAGATCAGCTTTTCATTCGTGAATCGTGGGATGGTACGAGATCTGAGTCGACTACGGTGCGCAATACCCGTGCTCGACGAATGTACAACTCATCTCCTCTCTGTGTGCTTAGGGATCCTCTGGTGGCGCGCCGTGTCCGTACACTACATATTCATCCCTACTTCGTCAAGCAGGTCCTCGAAAAGTCTCACGAACTTGCTTTCCCTCCACCCCATCACCATTCGTTCCGGGGTAAATTCAAACTTGCACACCTGTTTCGCGAACAGAAACGACTACCGCGATGTCATGCCCGGGCTCCAGCTATGCTTGGGCTATCCACGCCACAAGAGCTCGTGCGGACCATGGTCGAGGTCATTCTAGGCCTACCGAACGTAACACATTACCACATTGCGTGGAGCGGCCTGCATGCCATCCATGACGTTCCTGTTCCTTTCCTCGTAGCGGGTTTCCAGCCTTCAGTTCGCCGACTGAGCCTCGAGATCTCACTAGAGAAGACTGTCGATCTCCTTGCATATTCTTCACGGCTCGAGAAACTGGAGGAGTTGAACCTGCTGATCCGACTCGATCACACCTTGTCGGCGGAGACATACGATCGGATTCTCGTCGGCCATTTGGCTCCCGCGATCAACCGGATACGTGCATCCTTGCGCAAGCTCTCTCTCCGCTTATGTCAACCGTATGACATGACACCGCTTTTCGACACTCTCGAAAGCCTGCCTCATTTGAAGGACTTGAACGTCTCGATTCCCCTCGCCCGTCCGCATCTGGGCCACCCATCTGGCCTGGGGAACTTTTTGGATCGGCAACGCTTTTTCTTGCGTCACCTAGTTCTTCGCGGTTCGGAATTGAATGGTGACGGTCTCACGCTCGCTGAAGATCCCCTTTCCGAGTGGATGAACGACGCATTATCTTACATCAGTGGCCCTACGAAACTGCGCACTCTGGAAGTCGGTCTGGGCCTGCTCTCTGTGGAGACTGCTGTGATGTGTCTGGGACGATTTGCACATACACTTCGTTCGCTGATGCTCACTGGGAGGCATCTCACCTACGACTGTGTCGATGACTTGCTCAAGGCGATGCGGCGTGCAGGTCGTGGCGGTGCTCGGTTGGAGATACTTCGGCTCGGGACCGTTACGCTCAGTCCTGAGCTGGTGGATCTTCTCGCCGAGAAGTTGCCATCGCTGCAGCGCCTCGAGTTGCTCGTGCGTGACGTAGTCAGCAGTGAAGGCGATCTTCCTCTGTACTACGACAGTGTCGAGCAGGATGAGAGTCAGATTGTGAGTGTTATGTACTCGATTGAGTGTCATCTTTGGCTGACCGTCGCTTGCAGGGTGCTTTCTTGATGCAGATGGAGCAGCGTCGGTATACCCAATGGACCCTGAATTCGTTGAATTTGTCCAAGTCTGCATTCCCTTATCAATTCGAGTATGCGGCAGATTACAGAGATGTTTTTCTGGCCTGCGTCCCCTCATTAGCATTAGTTGAATAATCACAATAATTACATCTGTGCATGACAATGTGCTTCGTGTGGTTTCTTAGGCCGCCGCCGCTCATGTGATCTGGTAGTGTGCAAAGATAAGGGCATTGTG